TTATTGGAAGGGGCCGTTAATCCTTCAGTTTTGAAAGGGCCAATGGTTAGAGGAGAATATTAAGGAGCGAGAGGGTTGTATTTTATGCAAATCATATGTGCGTTATAGTTTTTCACCCCCTTCCCAATAGTGAGGAACCACCATCCCCGCACACATTACTTTCATAAACATGCAGCACCAACATGCTTTTCACATATTGCTAGCGACAACGGCTACCAGGTCCCTGTGGTACAACTCATCTCATGAACATGTCACTGAAGGTAGTAGGTCTTTCCCCAGAGCGCGCAACCACCCATGTGAACCGAAACGGGCTTGTGGTGGAAATGGGGCGCACGCTGACCTCACGGAGCATGAAAGAATGCAGAGCTGGAAATGGCTAAGAGGTGACCCTCGGCGTAAAATGACACGATGGCGTCTTTTAGTGCGTTCGCAAATCTTAACCGGGCACCTGTTTTTGGATACGTCTTTGAAAATCAGCAAATAAAAATCGGGAGAAGAAATGGGGCTTTCATCTTAAAATAGGCAATTTTTGTTTATTCCTTCATCACCGTCATCACCACCACCACCATCATCAACTGAGTCCCTGAGCCCTTCGAAGTCCAAGCCTGCGTCACTGCCGCCGCTAGGATACCTCAGGGACGTCTGCAGATGCTCCTTGGGAACTTCTCCGTCGATATCACCATCACTGCCTCTGCCGTCTTCATCTCTGTCATCCGCACTCTGCTGGCGCAAGATCCCAGCCTTTCGGAAGCCACTGCCGATGGTGTCTGGAGTTATTTTGCCCCAGGCAGAAGCCACCCATTTGCAGACTCTGTGAAGGTCGCCCATTTCAGCCGTCCCGAGGGTGTAAACTGGCCAGTCCCCGATTGCAGCCATTCATCCCGCTGTCTTCTCACCAAAGTCTCAAAGGGCACTTGACTGCTGTATCTAGTGGCTGCAGCTTCCGGTCAGGCCACCGGGAATGACTGCCATGTGGGCACCAGCTGAGTTGATATGGTTTGGGACATATTTTTCTTTGTGAGCCATCATGGTGTCGAAAATCAGCAAAGACTTCCGTGACAAGACCCCCTGCCTGGCCCTGTAGCATTTATCTACCCGCAATCTCATGACAGCACAGTCTGTCCGCCCCTTCTTCCTACAGGGAGCCACCGTGCTGGCAGGCAGTTTTTCACGGGGCATGGTGACGCTCTTGTGCAGCCGAGGACAACAGCGAAGCAAGCCCTGCTGCACGCTGGGCTTGCACTCCCCGGGCTTTTTGTCCCTGCGCAGCTGTGCTGCCGGCTGCAAAGTCCCAGGCCATTGGAACCTCGCCCATGTTAACGACATCCACTGCAGCCAGCGATGCATTTCCTTGGTGACAAACTCCGGGAAGTGGGCATCTTCTGCTCCTGGTCCTCTGGGAGTTGCTGGCCCACCGTGGTTCACGTTCTCACGGAAAGGCTGTTGCTTTTCAAGAATTTCGAAATCCAGGCAAAACCGGCCTTGAAATCTGGACTCCTCTTTCGCTGGCCAGCAGCTGGGCTTCGATCTGAATGGAGACGGCGGAGGTGGCTTGACGCTGCTCCCTTCGCGACAGCAGCCACTCCTGCAAGGCATTCTCCAGCTTGGGCATCTGGCGTTGGGCCCCGCGGGCGTTTCCTGGGATGCGTCTTCTCCAGCTCCCCTTTCCCTTCCTCCATTCGCGGATGGACGACTCGCCACCTCGAACTCGCGAGCCGCCGCCTTCCGCCCTCGCTTGAAGTCGGCAGTGTAGGACTGGCGTTTCATCCCTGCCATGATCCTAAAGGGATCTAAGATTCAGATTTGTAAACGGAAAATGTGTCCTGAAAAACCACGGGAGCTGAAGGTCAGGGCTGTGGTTATGGAAGGTGGACACTGGGGACAGCGATGCACTCTGCCTCGGGAGACCGGGCCCTGGGCCCACTCCTCACAAGGTCCCGGACACTGCGTCAGAGGAGGCTAACAGGGCGGCAGTCTCTGCCCATTCCACAAACATCATTCCACTGAGTAGGAGGCAAAAGGAATTGTATGAACCGGATCTAAACCCAATCTCAAGAAAGAAATGGAGCGAGTCACTGCACAGAGGGCCAGGCCAGCACAAAGAACGTCCGCGAGTGACTCAAGTTTGGGGGCGATTCTTGAGAGAAGTGCACAGCAGGAAACTTCCAAAGCACACATCCCTCGTCCGTGGCCCTCCCCAAAGAGCTGGGCTCAAACAGAGAAAGGCAGCGCGTTCTCTGCGTGCCACAAAGACATGGCGCACACCGACAAAAGTGTGATCGCGATGTTTCCAAAATGGGGGCCATGCGGTGTCTTCCTCCAGGTCGCTGACCCAACCCTAAGCCAGGCCACTCCTGAACATGGCCACTGGGGTTACGTGGCTCCCAGGATGCCAGTGGCCACGGGGAGTGTTATTGTACATAGAAAACACATCTGCGTGGTTGCTAAATTAGCCTCTTCAAAACCCCACAGCATTATTTATCAGATAAAGAAATCACTGATGTATAAAAGTACTTTAGAAAATCTAAAACACTTACTTGAACTCTCCCCTCCATCCCCCAGCCCTCTATGAACTACTGGGCCAAAGTGAAAAGATACAACAGAAGGGGGTGTGGGGGGAATCAAGCCTAGATGAGAAGTTATATCTTGCTTTGTTCTTTTCCTACCTTTCTTCAGAGCACAACTAAGATGATCTCTGGATGTGCTTTTAACTCCTTTCCCCTGCTAATCTTCTCCATAAAAGTAGAATATCTTTATATAGGTATAGATATGCATATATATACATGTACTTTTAACATTATGCTTTATCCAGATAGTTTTCCTTGAAAATTACTACATTGATGCCTGTATACTGTCTACTTGAGAAAACATCAGAAGTGAACTTTCTAACTATACATATTTAAATCGCTTCTACCCTTTTGCAGCTACCTTTCTAGAAAGAACTATGAATAATATATCAACCAATGTTAAGAGCATGTGGCAGTTCTCATTGGATGATCATTATTAACAACAGATTATTACACAGGAAAGGGAAAATCCACCCTTTGAAAAATGTTCACTTACCCTTTAATTAAGCGTCGACCGACAGTCTGTACACAAACACATTGTGTCACAGAAAAGTGCTATCTCTCAATGAATTCTTTTACAAAGACAGGGTGTCATACTGGTCTACCGGCCATAAAGAACGTTGGCTCAGTTCTATTACCTGGTCATAAGACTGGACTTTACAGCAAGTCTAAGGCACCGGTTGAAAAGAAAGGGGTTTTTTCAAATCCACCCCTGGCGAAGGAGTTAAAGTGAAAAATGTGGACACCTACTACAAGCTCTCGAACCATCTATTTCTTGATGACCTAGTGTAACAGGTCGTCTAAAAGGATTTTGTGATCAAAGCAAGCTTTTACTTTATAAAAAATTTTATACTGCCCGATGTGCTTCGTATCTGTATAAATCACTTGGCTATTAGCCCTAGGAGTTAAGTTTTATTTTTATAATTTAACCAATCAAAAATTTGTATCACTATAAAAAGGACAAAACTTGTGAGTTTTTACAAAAGGGTACTTGAGAAGTACCCTTCTTTTACAGTGAGTAAGGTTTCTAACTAAAAACAATTAGATCTCAAATATTTAATGATAGACTAATGCAGAATTGCTTTCAGGTTAGTAGAACTGCAGTAATAAGAGAAAAGAAATTGAGAGCTCAAAAAATATCCAGTCTACCCGAAATTAGCACATCAGAGGTGGAAACTACCAACCAACTTCTATTTGAGAAGCAATGAAGACATTTTAAGCACAGTTTCAAGCAGCCAAACACCACAAGTGACCCACTGACACCAGGAAGAACTTGCTCATTTAAAAAAGAAAAAGACGCTCCAAGCCGACAGCATTCTGCAGCAGTTAGAAAATACGGGCGTCCCACGGGCCTGCAGATGGGGCAGGTGTTGTGAAATACGTGGCAGAGAGTGTCTGAAGTATGCTGCAGCACATACAAAACACACCATGCAGTTTTGCAAAAATAAAAATATAGACACACGTGTGTATGGATACATACAATCATTGTTTCAAGGACACACAATAAACTAACAGCTGTCCCCAGTGCATGACGGGTGGCAGAGCAGGGGGAAGGAAAGCCACACACTGCAGTCTACTGGGCTGGAAGAGGGGCACGTACAGCATTCTCATGCAAACAACAAGGCCCTGTCGTCTACCTGCCAATGATAGGGAGATGAAAATGTGGGGGCTGGAGGGGTGAGGCTCGATGGTTGGGCAAAGATACGGACAAGGCAGCTTGCCCTGCTTACAACAATGAATCATGTGGATCGACTTAAATGGAGGGGAAATGCCTTAGATTATTAAATGTAAAAGGCGATGCGGTTTGTAACAGCATGAGCTGAATTTTCATTTCATTCAAGGGCAAGCTGGCTCGTCAGTTTAGGGGCATCTCTGGGAAGAGGGACCAGGAGCTGCTGCTTCAAACCAGTTTCTAAGGCTGGATTAGGTGTTCGCTCTCGAAGCGGCGCTACATGTGAAAAGTTGCTTTAAAATGATGACCAGCAACACTATTCCACTTCGATTTAAAAAAAAAGTGTGTGTGTGTTGTGTGTGTGTGTGTGTGTGGGGGGGGGGGGGGGGGGGGGGTCCTGGCCCAACTAGGGGTATTCTATAACAACCCAAGAGGTTATAGAATCTAATTCTGTGTGCAAGTCCGGTCATGATTTAATTTTAATGTTTAGCCGTCGATTCCCGCTCACAGAAGCGTCTTTCAGTGGTCTACCTGTGGGCCAGTGCGAATTGCCATGCCCTGGGTCTGCTGTCTACCACTCCCAATGCACGGGGAGCATGGCTGGGAAGTGGGTGCTTTGGTCACACATAAATGTATCTATTCCAACTTTGCTGGCAAGTTTCCTTTTAAGAAAGAATGAAATACATACTTATCAAGGTGAATGTGACACATATTTCTACGACCAGAAGTGACCTTTGGAACCAAGGCTTTTAAAGACTCACCTTCGATGGTCACCTCAACTTCCGGGTCCTCGCTTGTCTCTGAAGGGACATGTTGGGTAGAGTCTTGAAAAAGACAAAATGCTAAGATGACATTCATTATTAAGCATTTTCCACATGTTCCAACATTTGATTGATCTGATACTCCAAGAGCAGCCTGGTACCAGATTTAAATGGCATTTTAATTCATTTCATGTTGATAAAATTAAACTTCTTGACCCTTTTATAGTGGTAGGGATAAGAGAAAACAAAAGTAGGAAAATGACAACAGTGATCATAACAAGTTATCCGAGGGAATAACTTTTTTTAAATTAACTGCATTCATGGAGTAATGAGATTATAAATCAAATTACGGTTATTTTTCTGCTGCAATTTGAAAAACCACAATAAAAACCAGAATTTTTTTGGCGGGTGGGGAGGTTTGCTATTTCTCCTCCCCTTTCAGTTCCTGCAGGAGTGGCTCCCGTTGTCAAAAGAAACGCCCTTCCAGAAAGGGACCGCAGCCGGTGCATTCAGGGGCATCGTGTCCCGATTCTGTGTGTCACTTAAAACAAAACGAAGGATTCCATAAGGATCATGTGGGTCAGACAAACCCAGGGGACATCTAGACACTCGTGCTAGAAGTTGTGCTTTCAGTTTGCAAAGGGTGAGGGTTTAATTGATTGGTTATTAGATCAACGTCCGTTAGGGGAGAGAGAGAGAGAGAGAGAGAGAGAGAACCCAAGTTCATTTCCACTGGCTACCACTGCACTCTGGCGGTAAAGTCTCTAAGGAAAAAGGCATTTCCAAGGCCAGAATTGGAAACGCACACAGCAAACCTGGTGGCAGATGTACCTGGTGGCTGCGCCCAGCGGCCCTGGGGCTGCCACCCCACTCTGCAGAGCAGGAGGCTGGCACAGTGGGCATGTACTGGCCTCCTCGCCCAGGCTCCCAGAGGCAGCCCCAGGGAGGCCGGGGGCTCGGGGAACACAGAGCAGCAGCTTTCTGAGGGAGACCATTTCCAGCTGCAAACTTGCAATCCCACCACGGCACCTACAAAGATGCGTCTCAGCCTCCAGGGACCTGAGTGGAGCTTGGCCTTCTTCACTCCACGAAGGTGGAAGGGCCACCTTCGACCTTTGTGTATGAGCCAACACTTCTTTCAAAAGCAAATGTAAGAAAGGTAAGTAGTGACCAAATGGAGTTCCTTTTTAGTCCAGAGAAATAAGCCCTTTATTCTCAAACAAGATCTCGTGACCTGACCAGACTTTTTTCCTTGGGGGGAAGGGGGAAAAAAACCAAACCCTACAATAGTCCCGTCATTCCTGTGGATTTTATGAACGGCGTAGACCGAGACAAGCATCCTACCTGGCACACCTAACCCATGAGGCCAGGAGACGCTGGGCCCCCGGCAGCTCTGCACCCTAAAGGCACGTGAGCACAGACGGCTGGACACCATGTGCCATCGCCCTCTCTGGCCACGGCTTCCCTCTGCCGAGGTTTCTGTCCACCACTGTCCTGCCTGAAAACATTCAAACAGCCTCCCGCCCTGGGGTCGTGACCCTCCTTGGAGGCCGGCTGCCCTCACCCTGCCCTCCCGGGCACGCTGAGCACCTGTCCGATGAAGGCCCATGGATAGGGACAAAATCAGCGCGTGTCAGGGTCCGTACCATGCGGGGTGGTCTCAAGCCTCCAAGGAAGGCCTTGGAGCCATTCTCTGCCCCGTGGGAGAGAAAAGGGGAGAGAGATCTCTTGGTGTTTCTCTACTTGAGGTCAATTTCTTTCTCTAAAAAGAGGAAATCCCTCCACAGTCGATTTGTCTAGAATACATTACTAAGTGACTGGCAGCGGATAGGGAGACAGCGTATAATAAAAGGAAACTGAGTAAAACTAAAGAACGGCTGGGGGGTTAAATGCTTCATTGTGAAATGTGGGCACAGAGCTAGGAACAGCGTCACTGACTGAGCACCTCTCCTTGAAATCATTTCTTCTTGAAACGCTTGTGACCTGGCCCCCGATTGGGGGTGGAGGAGGAGACACGGCACATCATGAGGAGCGGTACTTACCACTGCGCTTCCAGCCCTGTGTCCTTAAATAGAGAGTTATTCATCAGTGCAAGCACTCGGGTCTATTAGAGCTTGAGAACTAACAAACCAGTAGCAGCAGCAACTAAACACACACTTGTGCACACACAACTTGTTGGCTTCAGAAGGCGCACGGCAAAGCAATCCTTCATATTCTCCCGAAGCCGCAGGTTGTAAAGTTGACCTGCTTTCTAAGTTAGACCCGACACGGCACAAGGGAAGCCCCGTTTCTCTAACCTTCTGCCGGCACTTCCACTTCAGTCCCTTCGTTGCCCTCTGACGAGTGATGGCTCCCTAGAAGGAAAGTATGAACAACATATAGTAAACCAACCCAAACAGACTTTCCCAGAGGAAAAAAAGAGAAACTAGGTGATGATGCGAACCATGTAAGCCTTCTCATGAAACGACACAACACACGGGCCGGTGATAACCGAGTCACACAATGTGGTCCTTTCTAACTTGGAGAACAGGTGACCCCTTTCTACTTGGAGGCTAAGAAAATTTACCATAAAGGATGCAGAGAGACAGAGGGCAGCTCAGCAGCTTGGGGGTTAAGTATTAGCCAGGGTGGAGTAGCGGGTAATCTACGTTGCAATTGGAGAGCTGGCCCCACGGGGTTCACAGTCCAGGCTTCTCTCTCTCAATGACCCACAGACACAAAAAAGACACTCACTCTTCTGGACTCGACACTGACATCTAGGATGCGTGCCCTACCCAGTCACCTACGGTGGGAAGGACGGATACGCGGGCCCCAGGATGTAGCATCCAAATCGGATGGAAAGGAAAGTCGTAAATTAAAATTAAGACACTACCTTTTTAGTCTCAATTGCATTTTAAGTCGGGTACTATAATCTGCCTGCTTCTAAAAAACTGGAACATAGAGCAACGTGTCAGGTTAGGCAGTCGGTCGCAAGATCAACAGGCTCATCCCACGAGAGCAGACGACGGTTACTCACAAACAGAAAAGGCAGGAAACAGCTATGACGGGGGAGCCGCTGGGGGCACAGCGCCCACTGCGTCGGGCACTCGTTCTCTGTCCTAGCGGCACAAGGTTCCAGAAACTGCCTTCTGGCGCAAGTAAAGAGATTTCCTATGAATGAGACTGAATCATTTAGGGGCAGCAGACTCCACGATCTTTTTTCTTCTACTGAGAACTCAAGTCAGAAGCTATGCTAAAGGTAGAAGCTCTCGAGGTTTTAACGATGTTTTTTAACTTAATTCAAAAGAACATGTTAGATATATTAGAGACTGGAAGGCTATCATTCAGTAGCAGGCGTCTGAATTAAAAACCCCAAACAAACCCAACCAAGTCAGAGGACAGAGTGGGCCTGCCCCACATGGGTTCCAAGGCCGTAAATCTGAAGGGAAGCAGACTGCCGCATCTTCCTTCCACAGAGCAGCTGGTGGGTTCGAACCGCCAGCTCTGGGAAGAGTAGTGGTCCAGCACTTAACCGCTGTACCACCAAATACACAAACAAACCTCCTGCTGTGGAGGCAATTTCAACTCAGTGGCCCTCGAGGGCTGGGTAGAGAAGCCCCACAGGGCTGCTGGGGCTGTACAGCTGCTCTCTGGGAACAAGACAGCCTCCTCTCTCTCCACGGAGGGGCTGGTGGGTTCAAAGCGTCAGGCTGACAGCCCAGCGCTTCACCCAGTGTGCCACCAGGGCTCCTGTATACAGAGGCGGGCATAGTACGGTCACATGCTGCGAGTTTCCCGTCTCCTGAGTTCGATGGCTTCGCCATTGTGCTGCTTCGTGCTATGAAAACTCACCAGGACGGAAAGCTCTGGGGTAACGCCTGTGCCTATGGCCGTGAACGACCTCTGGACTGGCTGTTCTGCTTTCCGTACGCCCTTCCCCTTCCTTTGCTCTGCCTGTGTGGTGTTCTAAAAAGCGCTTTGGGCACTTGGATTTACAGAGCTCACGCTGTTTCCAGCTGAAGAAAAACCAAGGTGTCGGGTCAGAAGAGTGAGAGGAGACTGTAAGGGACCAGCGGCTAAAACAGAAGCGTGGGGGAGGGTAAATTCGGTGATGGGGGAGGGCGGAGCGGGGCACTTCTCTGACTGGTAATTTTGCAAGGGACAATTAAAAAAATTTGACTGCATCTTTTAACGCTTGAAATCTGAAGTACACAATTACCCCTTTTGTTATAACCCAATCTTTGTGCTCTACTCAGGACAGAGGGACAGAGAAGCCATCACTACAAGATTCTGACCCTCGAGTTGGGGGACACCAGACACAAACTCCCCTAAAGGTAACAGTGCTAGCTGACAACCTGTTTCTACGCGGAGACTCAACATGGCCTGGTCAACATTTACGCTCTGCACCATACAATCACAGCCTTAGAGCCGACTATGCTGATATAAGGTAGAAATGTGTACTTTACCTGCAATAGGAAAGTGTGTCATGTACCCATTTCGAGATTCATTACTAGATTCACAAAAGGGAAAATTGGTTTTGAAAAACTGTTGCTTGTGAAGTTCACGTATATGTTAAAAAAAAAAAAGAAGAAAAAGGCCAATACATTTCTTTTTCCTTTTCCATTTTAGAAAATCAATATAGAAATCAATATCAAAACAGTCTGTCCAATATAACGAAACATTCAATACTAGCGATGGTGGGGAAATGGAAGCGAACAAAAAGAGATACCTTGCAAAGACTTCGAAAGGGGAAGTTTTTCATCAACATCATCAGTTTCAGAAGGGCCTGCTTTGAAATACAAAGAGTAACACTTCAAAAGGAATCTCCAAACTAAATTCTAGGTCACTTGAGCGAGCAAATTTGGGTGAGCAATATGGATAATAGCTTTTTTATGAAGAAGAGGTACACACACACACACACACAGAGAAAATGCACGGGGTCAATTGATGGTGTTAGTGGATGGAAGAAGTTCACTCAGATACATCCAATATGGATACGGTCAAAAGAAATGCTGACAATGACTGGACATAGGGGCTGAATGGGAATGCTACATCTAAAAAGGTGGATGGGGGGGTTCTGAAACAGGAAAAAAGTGTGTAAAAAGCACAACTGTCATTTTAACATCATACAGATTAGAAAAGCAACTTTGTCATACAGGTGTGTTTGTTTCTTCCTTGACAAATATATCATAGTTTGTTGTACTGGAACAAACAAACAAACAGGACCAAATGCTTATTCCTTCTTTGAATCCCTTAAATTATGCAATGGGATGATCAGTAAGCTTGAATCTCAGCTGAAATTGAAACATGACAAACAAGGCTGAGACCTCCCCCCACCCCCACCCTTTTCATAACTAAACAGCAAGTGTGTGAACAGCAGAGCCGTGAAGATTTGAACATCACAGTTACATGCACCACCAAGCATGTTCTCAATTAAGTGTAAAATAAGATGCAAGAGAGCATTTGTTCATTGCTCCACAAAATATCTTCCTGCTGCAATATTCAAAACAAGTCGATTCACTTACTATGATCTCTTACTGCCACTTAGAAACCACGGTCTTGGGATGTTTGGCAGGTTTACCAAATTCTTAAGAAATTTCGCAGTGGCACTAAATCACATCATAAATCACAAGGGGCTCATCAACGAGCAGATAACTGCACAGAAAGGACAAAAATAGAACTGAAGCGTCTGAAGAAGGGCAGAGCTGTGGATGAAGCCCGGCTCCCAGTCACGTGACCCTGGCCAAGAAACAAGCAGTACTTGGCAAAAGAAATCAAAAACCAAACTCACTGCCGTGGACTCGGTTCTGACTCAGAGCGAACTCAGAGGCCAGAATCGAACTGCCCCTGTGGGTTTCCGGGGCTGGCAATCTTCACCAGAGCAGACAGCCTCTTCGTTCTCCCACAGAGTAGCTGGTGATTTCAAACTGCCCTCCTTGGGGACAGCAGTCCAACTCTAATATTCACCAAGACAGATAGATATACGCTGGGTCACAAACATATTTTACATATTTAAAAGCCCTGGCTTTGCATAAAGAAGGTTCTCCAGTAATAAAGGAAATAAAATAGAAACCAGTAATAGAAAGATAGCTAAAAAGATAATTCCCTAGTATGTGAAAGCAAATATATACTGAGCTAACAGCAATGAGTACATGACAGAAGAAAATGTAGTAAACTTGTGGTGATGATTGTACAACTTTGAACTGAACTACTGCATTGTATGATGTGTGGATTAGGTGACAACAAAAGTGTTTAAAGAAAAGAAAGGGGGAGGGGGGAGTGAAGGGGAAAAAAAAGAAAGGAAATACATTCCAAAATATGTGGAACATAAGTTAAATCATGCTTTAGGGGAAATTTGTGGCATGAAATATTTGTATCAGAAAATATCTCAAAATCAATGACTTAGGCTTCTATCTCAGTGTTTCCCAATGTGGCTGATTCTGACAAGGGGTGGGAGTGGGGGAGCTTCCCCTGGGGGGAGGGGGTGATGGATGAACCATGGGGGGGGGCCGGTGCTGCAAAAACAGATACCTACACTTTATCCTGGGTAATGGGCTATTGCATAAAAGTTTTTCATTGCCACCGGAGCGCTGGTTATTTTTTTCTGTAAAGGGGGCAGTAAGCCAGAGAAGTCTGGGAGTCTGTGTTCTAACTTAAAAACAAGCATACGAGAAAAATTAAAACTAACATGAGAAAAGGAAAGAACTAGTTGATGAAACTGAAAAAGGTCATTCTTTCGGTAGAAGGGGCTGGCATGTGAGAAAGAACCACTAGTTCTCAGCCACGGACACCCATGTCCACCTAGGAGGCAATATCTGGAGACAGTCACCACTCGGAGAAGGCAACTGGCATCTCGTGGGTAAAGGCCAGAGAAGCTATGGACAGCCTACAATGCACAAGGACAGACACCAACTACAACTGGTGACCTTGAAGGGGAACAAGCCGAGGGCTCAGCCATCCTTTCAGTGGATGGAGTTGAAAACATTCCATGGGGGAACTTTCAAGGGCCAGATGGCTTCACTGGCAAATTTTACCAAACACTCAAGAAAGAGAAGGTACTAATTCTACACAAAGAAATGTAAAAAAAGGATCTTTCAAAGCAGCTCCTCCCATTAACTTTATGAATAAGACCATCATTACACAAACCGAAGACATTTAGACAAACAAGCAGGCAAACAAAAACCGACTGGCTAGTTGCCCTTAAGAACATAGATTCAAAAAGTACTGGACAAACCAAATGTGGCAATAAATAAAACAACTAATAACCACTTGAGGTTTATCCCTGGAAAACAAGGGTGGCTCGACATGTGGAAAAGCAATGCCCATCATCATATTAACAGGCTAAACAGACAAGCTACAGAATCATCTCAGTAACACACAGGAAAACCCTTTCACATAATTCAGTCATCACAGAACCCCTCCAAATGGAACACGATTGGGAACAGCCTCAATCTGATGAAGAGAATTTGCAAAACAGCTACATCTGTAATCTTCAACGCTTCCCTCAGAAATTGTGAACAGGTAAGGGTGTCTGCTCTGACTGTCACCATCCATCAGCAGACAGCGACATCAAGCCATTGCAGTAAAGCATCAAGAAAGAATGTAAAGCACAGAGATGGAACAGGAAGAAATAAGCTACCTCCACTGCAATTGTATTTGGAGAAAATCTCAAAGGAATTTATCAAAAATTACTAGAACTTAAAAGCTAATTCAGCAAGGTCAACAGGATACAAAGACCTTATGACAAAAATCAACTCTATTCTACCTCCTTGCAATACACTGGAAAGTGAAATGTCAGAAATAGCATCACTTACAAAGGCATTAAGTAACTGTTAACACTTCAGAGAAGGAGCCCTGCTGACTTAGTGGTTACGCAGCGGGCTGCATAACCCCAAAGTCAGCAGTTCGAAACTGTTCCCTAGGAGAAAGATGAGCCTTTCTCCTCCCGTCCACAGTTTACATTATCGTCTCCTAAAGCGTTGGACATCCTAAAGTGTTGGACATCCACAGGGGCAATTCTACCTTGACCTAGAGGGTCACCAGGAGTCGGAATTAACTTGATGGCAGTGAATTTGGGGTGTTGGTTTTTTTTGGTGGGGGAGTGGCAGGGAGGGAACAGCTCAAAGTACTGATGAAAAAATGTACCATGTTTGTGAATTGGAAGATTGGCTCTGGTTAAGATACACAATTAAAAGCAGACTATATAAGGACCCCGAGGTGCTCAGTGGTTAGGCACTAGATGATTAATGGAAAGACTGGAGATTGGAACCCATCAGTTGCTCTCAGGACTCTGTTCCACAGCGGCGTCTCACTGTGAACTACTGCACCACAACGCTGTGCGTCTCACACACACAGGCAAATTTAGAAAACACGTTTCAGAAGGGGGAGCTTTGGAAAAACCTTTAGATTTATAAAAGCAACCCTCAGATTTGGTGCAACCCTAAACGAAGTCACTACCGTCGTGAAAAAACGAATCAACAGCACGCTGATGCTACAGTTTTTATGATGCTACAGTTTACATGCAAAAGCAAAGGAGCCTGAACGGGTGAAAACCCCACTTTGATGAAGAGCAGAGGTGGCAAGGCTCTCACGGTCTAATTCTGAGATGGACTGGGAACCTGCAGGGGTCATGGCGCTGCTTCTGGCACAGGGATGACACACAGCTCGTGGGACAAAACACACTCAGACCCAGACGGTGAGTGTGCCCCTAACAGAGATGCACAGTGAGCCCGACAGCCAGAGATCTTTACACTCGTGGGGCCGGCAAGACAGGCATCCAGTTCACCCAGGGCCTCACATTGTCCACAGTTACTCAGACTACACACCTGTAAAGTTTCGGCAGAAAAGATACCTTGTGTCATTAAAGCATACACCTTACCCAAATTAATACTGTACTGGGCATCATCAAATGTATGAATTTCTGCTGAATACAGAGTTTTGAAAGAAAATTTAAAATAACCATTCCTCAATTGGAAAAAATCATGTGCAAATCATATAACATGCTGCCGCCGCCCCCTCCACCGCAAGAAGGAAGGTGTACATAAAATTACTGGTCAACACTCAGTTATAACAGGTTATATGAAAATTGTTCAATGGGAACTTAATTTGCTATATAAGCTTTTACCAAATACACCAAATATTAAAATACCCAATTATAAAAAAATATTCACATTGCTTGATAGATATAAAATCAAACCGTCCAGCCCCCATCTTTTCCAACTAAACTAGGACATCATCATTCCAAGCTCTTTCCATTCTACAGGAAGAGGTTGGGTGCACATACTTAAGTCATTGACCCTCTAAATCTGAGTTGGGGGCTGGGGCAGGGCAGAAGCGTCTAGAATTATGGCTGATAAGGGTGGAACTTCTAATGAAAATAATGTAGCAAAATCAAAGTCCAAACTTTTATTCTGAAATCTAAACATAATCTACCCAGAATTTTTATTAAACAGCAATTATGAAATATATGCCCCATCACTACTGAGGTACTAATGGCTGCTCTCAAGTCTAAATCAGTCCCAACATTTTTAGCTTTTAAGGAAAAAATCCTGAGGATGCTAACACCTTTTAGCCATATCATTCCTAATGGCATAAGTAATAATAAACCATTCACAGCTGAACACAAGACAGTAAGCCATCGGTTAACACGCATATACAGCTATTCACACACCAGCAGGCATTGATTCACAACACATTTATGAGGCCCCAGAATTGCTAAGGCTTATCTTGCGAAGTGAAATGACGTTTTCCTGTGTGGACATTTACCTGAAATTTCCATAAATAAATTTAAAATAACTCCCACGTGCCCCAGCTGTACCACTTCTAGTTTTACTCATGGGAATTTCGTGCAAATGGCCACACAATCAGTCGCAAATGTTAAGAGCAGTCTGACGTCAAACAAGCCCAAACTGCCACCATCGAACTTTCCGTCATTCCAAAGAAATGGACCAATGTGAGAGCCACTCGGAGGGATCAAGCCGGGAGGGAGTGAGGGAGTGGCACGAACCAATGTTACAGACTACTCTCGGGAAAAAAAATTTTTTTCAATTAAAAAAAACCAAAACTTTTCTTCTCTCGGGAAGAAAAGTCGCCAACTCCTATGCCCAAACTGGTTTCCTCTAGGGATCGACTGGAACACGTTTCTGGCAAAAAGGAGCAAACCTAAGGCCTCTACGCTGTGCAGAGAAGTGAATCCAAGTGGGTTGGGGGGAAGCTTTTTTGGGTAATGATACTTCATGTCCTCGTTTTATATTGACATACAATTGAGATCTATATATGTGTTTATATATACATATGCATATATACACACATGTCTGTACACGTGACCGGACAAATCACACTGCACACCTTAAATATTTAGCATACTTCAATGATACATTGATAAAAACAACAAGACTATATATATATATAGAATAAAAAATATCCTTCTAAACTGGAATGTAGCAATGGGCACATGCGCGCACACAGGAACACATGATGTTACAATGCTCAACTCCCTCCTAGTACTCGTGAAGAAAATAAAGGCACTTACAGGGATGGGAAAACGAATGACTACTTGCTAAAATGTATCCACCTCTTGCCTTTCATAGCTGTTTGTGTGACTACAAAACCACACAGAAACGCCAGCTGTGTTGCACATGCAGAAGGTGGCCGCCCAGGCCTTGCAAAAGACCCCAGTTATGGGAGCTGGGTTCTAATTTGTGTCATTCCTTTGCTCATACTGACTACTGGCCATTTCTGAAGTTCACTTAGAGTTCTTGAGCTTGTGAACTACTACCACATCCCAATTTTGAGACATTTTACCCAATAATGAATTATAAGTATACATGCCAATCAGGACCAACCAGTAAAATAATATTTAAGAAATGGAGGTGACTCTAAGCCAGTCTGATGGGGAACCATGAGTAACTTCTGGGAAGACAGATGCTGTTCACTGGCGCTACCTTGAATGTTATACTGATAGTAGTCAGGATCTTCTGATTCCTCCTTGACTGTCACCGCTGCCATTTCCAGGGAAATGCCTGGGAAAGGAAATGAAATCATGCAATTACATGTCAGAACAATTCTACTATGTAGGGAAACCTGCTCTCACCCCTCAATAATGCGAGGTCATGTGTGTGCAACTGAGAAGACTTTGAAAGGAAAAAAGTCTCATAAATTGTGTTACGTATGGGATGGTGTGTGTGTGGGGGGGGAAACAGGGGAGCTGTCACTACAAAACCAACAAAATCAATGTTATAATCAGCATTAATTTGGGGGGGCTATTTGCTAGGTCCCCCTTTTCCCTTTAAAAAAAACAAGTCCAACAAGTTCTCACCTTTGGAATTGAAAACCAGCCACACTCTTTTTTCACTTAGCTTTAAAAACTTTCTGTTAAGGGTGTGGAACCATTAGGGAACCAATTAAGTAGGCCAACGTAATTAAGGTCATAAAACTGTCCACATAAAAATAAATATTTTTTTGTTCATATAGTCTACCCTAGAATTTAAAAAATGGGGGTGGGTGGGAAGAGGGGGACAAAGCCAATTGTACAGAGCTGTTTCAATGGTAGCGATGGTATGTGTTTAAACCATTTTCAATCATGGTAATGGATGTCTTCTGATCCAATTCCCTTATGAACAGGATGCAAGGTAGACCTTCCTGCTTTGCCCAGAGGGCAGCCAGGTAATCTGAAGAGAGCATGTGCAGACAGAACACAGTGGGAACCGGTATTTAATCCCCGTACACAGACGTGAACACTGACAAGACGTGTGCTGGTAAAAATCAAGCCTGGAGCAGATTCTGGGAGAGCGGGGGCTGCCATTGAGAGGAGCCACAGGTGCTGGCAACAGCACAGTTAGTGTCTTTGTCTCAGGTGTGCCAACGGGCCCCACAGGTGTACTTGTGTTGTCAGGCCCGAGTGTGGCTGAGTGGCCACATGTTAACTCTTGGTTGGACCTAAATTCACAGATGCTGTTTTCAGGCCCAGGAGCACTCTCAGTATGCATGAGAGGCAGCTGCAGCGGATAGTTGGGGCTCGATACAGCCTGTCAGCGCAAGGTGACCTTGCAGATCGCTGGACATGTTCTGCTTCCTTGGGCTTTGCATACTTTCCCTTATGTGTCCGTTCCTTCAATCACGTGCTACGAAAGGACAGGGGCCCCGATTTTGTGGAACCCTCCCCTTCCCCAGGGTTGCCAGCTAAGGAAGGCTTCCTCTTCCGGTGGGGAGGGCGCACTAGAATGGATGGTGATTACACAACTCATTTAAAAAGCAATTTAACCATGAAAAAAAAAAGTTTTCAAACTGATTGGGGTAATGACTGCGTAATTCTTCTTGACGTGATTGAACTATTGAATTGTACGAGATGTGGGCTTATGTGGCAATAAAACTGTAAAGAAAGAAAGAAAATAGACCCGTTTGATCAGCTCTCCCATCCTCCAACTTAGGGATGGGGATTGTTCTCAGAGAAACTTAAGAAATGAACAATAGCTGGGTGCACACACACACACACACACACACACACACACACACACACTCACACTCAGACCAGGATGTGCAAGCACAGGGAGCGCACACGTACAACAGACTGAGAGCCGTGTGACCCGCTGAGAAGTTCTGTAGAGTTGCCCTTCTACTGAAACAGCCCACTCCAAATTCATGAATCCATCCCCAAACACACAGCAGTTAAGAACTGGCTCCTTTGCTTTGGGCAGGAAAGGACTCACAGCTGCACTTTAAAGGGCCACCTGCACGCTTTTCCGGCCCTAGTCACCTGTGCTGCAGTGACACTACTCGCTCAGGCTACCGGTGTTTGGAACTCCCACCAAGTGCCTGGGAGGAGGCCCGAAGACTGGGTCTGTTCCTCTTTGCTGGAGAGGTCAGGATTGGAGAAGGTGCCGAAAAGACTGATAGGAACACCTGATTCAGGGGCGAGCAACTGCTAACGTGGCTACGTCATTGTCTCTAAGAACCTGGAATGCTTATGTAAGCATTGGTCGATTTGGCCATCCTGCTGGGTAGAAAATGAGTCATCACATAAACAGAAAGGGGTGTTCTTCTCGCTACCATCACAAAGGAAAAGCCAGGAGGGGACACCCCAGGTCTCTGGGCAATGAGCCTCCTCCTCGACCTGAGAGGTGGCGAGCCGGGGCAGTGAGGTTTCCTGGGCCCATGGAATGAGTACAGCACAGTCTCCGGGCAGGAGGGTGCACACCTGCAGGCACTTCATTGGGAGAGCGAGGCATGGCCAGCCCAGAGTACAGAGGAGCCGAGGCTGAAGACACAATGGAACGGGCTCTGGGCCTGTATCAGCAGTGCAAAAGGAAGTGGGGGACATGGTCCAAGCAGAGGCCCCGGAACCAAGTAACTGAGAGGCCAAGGACCAGTGAGGGACCTGCGGCAGGCAGGACAGGGAAAGGCCCGTCCGGACAAAAGAACGGTGTCTTCCGCATTTCGGATCCTGGATTATAACCTGTGAGCGTCTCCGATGAAGTCCAGAACAGGGTGGTCGGTCAGTTCTGTGGAGCCACCGCAGTGAATCATCAAGTCTAGCTGAGAAGTGGGAGGGAAGGCTGGTGGAAGAACTGCTGAGAGGTTGGCCCGGGGAGGCCTGTCTCGGCTCAGCCCGAGGTATTGGCCTTGGGCGGCTGAGGTCGATGGTGGTGACTGTCTTGCCATTTCCGGAAGTCAGAGATCCAATGCTGTCCTCACACCATTTTTGACATCACTACTCACCAAAGTAGGATGAAGACATTTGTCTTTGTAAACTACTCCGTAATGCCAGTGGACCCAGATATCCCCGGAATGGTGGTCCTGAGCCCCAGGCCCAGCAACTTGTGGGAAAATGGGATTAAAAAATTGATGATGTTTGCCCCCCAAACTTTTTTTTTTCCCCAGAAAACTTTTTGAAAGCTCCTCAGATGGTACATGTGGGGAAGGATGGTCTTGGAGGTAAAATAGCTGTGTCCTCATGCTCCTTGTTAATGGACAGCACCAACCACCGACGTGAACTTCTGTTCGGTTCGAGCATCGATGGTTCGACAGACAGCTCAGGGAAACCGACCGGAGGTACAGACGTCAGCCCAGACAACAGGCTTTTCACAAAAGGCATCCAATGACAGACGTGGTAGTGACGTGGATACCCAAGTGCAGAAAGATGAATCCATAACCACATGCAACGTGTTAAACTTAACTCATAATGAGTTGCAAACTGACATATAGCACTCCATACAATGCTGGAACAAAAGGGCCGAATGTGAAAACGTGTCTAGACACAGGCCTATTCAGAGCACTAATCTAACGCGTACACAACAAATTATTTTTGGGGGTCAGTGTATAAGATAACATTAACAAATGACATTACGGTTAGGAGAGTACTTGTTTACCAGCAAAAGAATAAGTAATGAGTCAAAATATAATCTTCGAAATGACGGCGGTCCAATCTGCAATTGGACTGAGGGGTACATACCAGAATCTTCCGTGGGTTCAGTTTTCACTTTGATGGGGCCGCAACTGAAAGAAGCAAACATGGATCAAACTCGGTGAAGGAGAGAGAGGGCTACACCCATCCTGCAGACACATGCTCATACTGTCCAAGAATACAGTGACTCGCCAGCCCTGGCTGAATGCAAAACGGACGCAGCTTTAAATGCACATGTTTACTCATGTGCACATGAGAGCTGCCCACTCAAGTGCGTGCTTTAACTCCAATGCAGCTCTTGGAGGTGTGGGGAACAGAGCAGATTTGACCTTTACACTCCTCTTTACTATGCGGCCCTCACGCGCAAACGCGGCCATCAGATCCACAACAGCCCCTTCTCCTAGAACTTGCTAGATAAAGCAGAATGACAAACCGTGGCAAAGAACACATTAATCAGACATCGCAGGTTCGCCAGCCTGGCCCCCCACCCCCCACCCCCTGATGACTTGACAGCGTACAAAACTGGGTGTATGACTGCACTATTCTAACAATCAGCATCTTCGCCAGATGTGATGTACATGAATCCTGATCAAAATAGTTTTACCTTCCACCTGGAGATAGTATCGACCT